TATTTACTTGAGAGAAGCCATTAAAAACAAGAAAATAAATACAGAGCAGGAGGCAGAGCACTGACCTCCCAGGAGTGTGTTGGACACCAGGAGGAGCAGAGGGAGGAGACAGCCATCTGGAGGGAAGGTGGGAGAGCCCTTCATCTCCTGAGGGAAGGTCAAGGCCGAGTTCACCTGTAGGAGGGCAAAAGTTGGAGGTTCTCAGGAAAAGTTCAAAGACTTAGCAATATCTACAGGTTTCTAACTGTGTCTCCCACAAAACTCTTAAGACAAAACCCACCAACCCCACAACTCCTCAAGGCCTTTCATGTCCTCTCTTTATTCTGAAGGCCAACATTTCCCTCATGGGCATGGGAAACTGCCAAGCATTTTCTGTGCGCAGGGAGTGGCACTCTCTCACCTTTCCGTGGGACCATGGTCTCACAGTGGATGTCAGAGCTGGATTCCCTGAGTTCAGTGTAAGGCACTGGAATCACAGGAGGAAGTGGATTATCCCCACATCCAGTCTGTCTTCACTCTTATTTATTTATTTATTCTTCTATTTGTTCATTTACGTACTTATTTCCCAATAAAGGGGCCATTTCTCACGACATTCTCTTGACTTCAATACCCCCTTTTTGAGGCCCACACCTCCCTTGGACAGACTTTCTCACAGTCACAAACTCCTCACTCACCATTTGGACTGAGCTGTGGGTTCCTGGAAGCTCCTGGGATCCTCAGTGATCTGAAGCCTGGCCTGGTGACCTGCACACTCAACGGTGTGGCTGGGTCAGTTTTCAGAGATATTCTTTGCATGGGGGACACACAGGGTTTCCCCCCAGGCTCTGGCTTGAGTTTCCCCCAGAGGAGTCTAGGAGGAAGCTGCAGTCACCTCCAGCTCTTCTGTTACTTCAAGAGTGGAAATAAAAGCCCAAGGGACTTAGCATTGGGCAGAGCCGTAAAGTAAGCAACTGTAAAGCAGTTTGGAGACTTCTCACAGTAAACTGCCTCCTACATTACCAGGAGAGGCAATCAGGTCTGAGGGTCACTCACATGGTTAATTGGTTTAGAGACTAAAGCCAAGCAGGCTTCTCCCTCTATTTTCTCCATGAAGTCGACTTCTGACAGAATTCGTACTGCCTCAGTTACATGAACTTCACAAGGCTGTGTCTCAAATAAAAAACAGAAT